CCGGGCTTGGCTCGTCCAAAGTCTCGAAGGCAGTTTCAGAGAGAGCCACACTCTGCGCGCCCCTTGCCGTGCGCCCGCGCCGCCCTCCCGGAGAGATGCAGCCTTTTCCCGTTTTTTGTCACTGCAGCTTCCAGCCCTGCGGTCGGTCGGATCCTCCTTTTTGTCGTTTTTTCCCCAATCAGCGCTCTCAGGTTGGAAAAGCGGAGCCCGGGTTGTGTGGGCGCCTCTTCAAAAGATGAGGAGCCCCATGAAAGAGTTGCTGCTGTTTTTTTTCCCCTTGGTATGTTAGCCCAGAAGGGAGACAAGTCTGCACGGGCGTGATACGCTCCGCTTTGCCGGTGTCTGACGTCCCCTGCTTGAGATTGCAGACATCCCGGAAGCAGCGTCTTTGCCACGACTTTGATCTCAGTTCGTCTGACTTCTGGTGGCTTTGCCATCTCCCCTTGCCCTTCTTCCCTCCCTCCTTCCCCCCCACCTTGGGTTTTCCCTTGGCAGACAGATGCCGACTTAGAGCCTTGGGAACAGGGTGGCCTGCAGAGCCCTCTGGTCTGGTGGTAGGTGACCGCTATGAGCCCCATGCCGGTGGCCACTACTGATGGCTGGAAGCTCAGGCCTTGTGCTTGGGGTGATAGTGAAACTGCCTCGCTCTGTTTCCTCCTCTGTGCACTGAGGTAATCCCCCTCCCCACCCCACCCACCTTTTTGGATTTTGCTTTATCTCAGTGTCCCAACTCGAAACTTTTGCATGTCCTGTGGTGGCCCCATGTTATGTCTTTTTCCTGGCATCTCCGCACCTCACATTCCCCGCTAGCTGGAGGGGAGCGGGCCTGGCTTCAGACTTTGTTCACCCACATCTGATCTGTATCTGTGCATCTGCAAGCTTTCTGTTCACATGTTGGGCTGATTTCTGGTTGGGCTTGTTTCTAAAATGACTTCTAGCTCCTAAGTACTACTATTCTAATAGTTTCTGTTTCTCAGGACAGGTGATAGTTGCGGGCACTAATTTAGTCATGTCACATTGGCAGGAGTGTCCTTGCTGGTATGTATAGGCTAGATAGACATCTAGCCTTTCCACTGCTAGCCTTTCCACTGCTACATCCCTCCAGGTCATTCATTCAACAAGTATTTATCGAGTACTTCCATGAGCCAGGTACTGTCCTAAGTGCCTCAAAAACATCTTATTTATACTTACCAAGTACAGTTGACCTCCGTATCCATGGGGTCCACATTCTCAGGTTCAACCCACCCAGGTTGAAAATATTCCAGGGAAAAACAATAAGAACAGTAAAAATAATATAAAAACAATACAGTAAGTCCTCATTTAACATCAATAGGGTCTTTTTTTTTTGAGTTGGAGTCTCACTCTCACCCAGGCTGGAGTGCAGTGGCACGCTCACGGCCACCTCAGCCTGGACCTGCTGGGCTCAGGTGATACTGCCTGGCACCTCAGCCTTCCAAGTAGCTGGAACTACAGGCATGCGCCACCACGCCTGGCTAACTTATTTTTTTTTTATTGTAGAGACGCAGTCTCACCAAGTTGCCCAGGCTGTTCTGGAACATCTGGGCTCAGGCAATCCTCTTGACTCAGCCTCCCAAAGTGATGGGATTACAGGCTTGGGCCACTGTGCCTGGCCATTGACAGGCTCTTAACGAATGTGTATCTAGCTGGGCTCGGTGGCTCAGCCTGTAATCCCGCGCCTTCGGGAGGCTGAGG